TTATACCTAAAAAGATGTATTTCTTTTATATCATTTTGTATATTTTTTCACTTTGTATAATGAGTAGCTGCGGATTCACCAAGCAGAAATACTGGAGTGGGTTGCCATGCCCTCCTCCAGGGGATCTTCCCAACCCAGGGATTGAACCCAGGTCTCCCACATTGCAGGCGGATCCTTTACTAGCTGAGCCACCGCAGAAGCCCCCAATAAAAGTTTATTTACATTAAACATTTACCTTCCAATTTGTAGAGCTAACTTTTTTAGTTTAAAGAATTGTCATAGATTCCAGTTAGTATCCCGTGCTTCTGAATCCTAGTAGGGCAGCCCAATGCTATCTTACATGAGGAACTATAAGAAATATCTGATGGACAGGAGATGCAAGGATGCAGAAAGTGACATTGCTTGTTAATCTACCCATGTGAACCTCAAAGCAGGTCACAGAATTTCCTTTATTGTTTAGAGACTCAGGACCCCTTGAAGAAAACTTTGCACCTAACAGCTAGGTCCTTGTGATAATGAAATTAGTAAAAAGGGGAGATGAATTCCCCTCAACATCTATACAGAATGAAGGTTAAGATCAATGCATCAAGCAGAGAAAACAGTTGACCACATAGCAAAAGAGACGTTCTTGCTGATCATCAGGAACAGAATATTCCTTTCAGCCTTTTTTTTTTTTTCGTCTGTCATTCAGGTTCAGTGAATTTTGTTTATCTGTCCTTTCCTGTTTCCATCTATTCTTGTCCGAAGGTGCCTGTGGGCGGTGAGGTGGAGGGTATGAACATCCTGGGCCTGGTGGTGTTTGCCATCATCTTTGGTGTGGCCCTGTGGAAGCGGGGCCCTGAGAGAGAGCTGCTCATCTGCTGCTTCAGCTCCTTCAGTGATGCATCCTGGTGCTCATCTCCTGGGTCATGTGGGTAAGTGGTGGAAGGAGGAACATCTGCTCCTTCAAACCAGATGGCCTAGGTTCAAATTCAGCGTCAACTATTCCCTAGCTGTGTGACTTTGGGCAGGTGACTTTCTCTGTGCCTGTTTCTTCATCTATAAGATGGGGACAGTGCTGTATTCCATGGGAGCTAAGACTGATCCCAGAACCTTCTTGATCCTACTGGAAGATAACAAAAAGACAGCCGAGCTGTGGACCATCTCAGGTTTTGAGATTTCAGCGTCACCAAATGTTCATCTTTGGATCGATGACCAAAAATAATGCCTGCTTTATAGGGTTATTACGAAGATGAAATGAGTGACTGAGGCATAAATGAAGCACTTAGAAAGTGTTCTAAATGTCTAGCACCTACTAATCATTCACTTAATGTCGGCTATGATTATTACCATTATGTATGTGCTTTTGTTAAATGGCCTCAGATAAGGAGGGAAAAAAACACATGCAGAGACATTAGACTTCACCCTTGCCACTTCCCTCTGCCTCGTCTCCACATGGTATCACACTGCTTCTCAGGACCCATCCTGGATCAGAAGGTCAGGAGTCAGGAGACGAGTGACTTCCCTAGAGGTCCAGTGAGTGAGACTCTGAGCTGCCAATGCAGGGGGTGTGGGTTCGATCCCTGGTTGGGGAACAAGGATTCCCACATGCCAGTTGGCACAGCCACAGGGAAAAACAAAAAGAAATTTGGAGGTAAGTTAGGGCTTCTGCATTTCTACCAAGTCTTCCCCCAGTTCAAACCTGAGTCTGGGGTAGTTGATATGTAAGAAGTTGCTGTGTGGAACTATTAGAAACACTTGGTGGTCAGGTCAGAGCAGGCTCTGCAGCTGGGCAGCCTGGCTTCTCATCCTGGCATTGCCATTTCCCAGCTCTTTGCTTGGATAAGTTACTTATCCTGCTGTTCCTCAGTTTCCCCATCTGGAAAATGGACTTGATGGTACCAGGTGCAAGTGAGTTAATACATGTAAAGTTCTTAGGACGGTGCCTGACCCATAGCGTGCCTATAGTAAACAAGCTTAGCTAATGTTTGTCAAGTACTTGTATAATTTTTGGGCACATCCCATTGGCTAGATGGAGAAGGCAATGGCACCCCACTCCAGTACTCTCACCTGGAAACTCCTATGGACAGAGGAGCCTGGTAGGCTGTGGTCCATGGGGTCAGCAAGAGTCAGACACGACTGAGCGACTGCACTTTCACTTTTCACTTTCATGCATTGGAGAACGAAATGGCAACCTACTCCACTGTTCCTGCCTGGAGAATCCCAGGGATGGGGGAGCCTGGTGGGCTGCCGTCTGTGGGGTCACACAGAGTTGGACACGACTGAACGACTTAGCAGCAGCAGCAACATTGGCTAGAACCTGGGCATTTGGCCAAACCTAGCTGCACAGTTGGCTGGGAAATGGTGCTTTTCTTCTGTTATTAAAGAGGAAAAGAGGTTTGAAGACTGGTGGCTCAAGTGATAAACATTCTGCCTGCCAATCCTGGGTACATGGGTTCAATCCTTGGGTTGGGAAGATCCCCTGGAGAAGGAAACAGCAACCCATTCCAGTATTCTTGCCTGGGAAATCCCATGGACAGAGGAGCCTGGCAGGCTACAGTCCATGGGGTCACAAAGAGTCAGACATGACTTATCAACTAAACAAGTTCACTGCGTCTATTCTGTCATCACTCTACAAATGAGCCCATCCAGTGATTTTTTTATTTTGGTTATTGTGCTTTTCAGTTTTCTATTTTCCATTTGGTTCTTTTCCTTGTATTTCTTTGCTGCAGTTTTCTGTCTTTTCATTTGTTTCAAAGGAAATCATAATTGCTTTTTGAAGCATTTTTATGATTGCTCTCTACAGTCCATGTCAGATAATTCCAATATCTGATGTACCTCAGTGTTGGCATCGTTTCTTTTTTTTTCTCATTCAGCTGGTGATTTTCCTGACTGTTAGTATTACAGGCGATTTCCTGTTGTATCCTGGACATTTAGGCTGTTGTGTTAGGAAATTCCAGGTCCTGTTTAAATCTTTTTATTTTAGCAGACAGTCACCCTATTTAGGTTTAGCATGCAGAACCTGGTCTACTTGTAGCCTGTGGTTTTAGTGACACTTTAATGTTGAGCCTTTGTTGTGCTGTTTTAGTTGGCTTGGCTTCTCTGGTGCCTCTAGGGTTTCTACTCATCCCTGCTGTTGCCATCTGTGGGATGAAAGGCACTTCCCCACCTGGGGAAGTCCCAGCCACCTGGTCTCTGGGTTCGAAAAGGAAGTCTTCAGCCAACACCGATGACAAGTTTTTCCCCTGGGCCACTTGTTTTCAGAGGAGCTTCCATTCTGTCCCCATTGCCAGTGCCACTTGTCCTGCTTGCTGTTACTGGCAGGTCTCTTCTTTGCCCTAGAGGAGGAATGAGTCTACCTTGGCCATCTTCTGCCATCAGATCGGGGTTTAGGAGACATGGAGTATGAATTGCTTTTTATTGCTGGATCAGTTCAGTTCAGTCACTCAATCGTATCTGACTCTGTGACCCCTTGGACTGCAGCACGCCAGGCTTCCCTGTTCATCACCAACTCCCTGAGCTTGCTCAAACTCATGTCTATCGAGTCGGTGATGCCATCCAACCATCTCATCCTCTGTCATCCCCTTCTCCTGCCTTCAATCTTTCCCAGCATCAGGGTCTTTTCCAGTGAGTCAGATCTTTGCATCATGTGGCCAAAGTATTGGAGTTTCAGCTTCAGCATCACTCCTTCCAGTGAATATTCAGGACTGCTCTCCTTTAGGATGGACTGGCTGGATCTCTCCAAGGGACTCTCAGGAGTCTTCTCCAACACCACAGTTCAAAAGCATCAATTCTTCGGTGCTCAGCTTTCTTTATAGTCCAACTCTCACATCCATACGTGATTACCGGAAAAACTATAAATTTGACTAGACGGACCTTTGTCAGTAATGTCTCTGCTTTTTAATATGCTGTCTAGGTTGATCATAACTTTTCTTGCAAAGAACAAGCGTCTTTTAATTTCATGCCTGTGGTCACCATCTGCAGTGATTTTGGAGCCCAAAATTTATTGCTGGGTAGGAAGGATCATAAGATACACAGCCACTGTGATGGTCCTTTAGTCTTGGGTCCCTAGCCAGTCTGCCTTTCCCTTTTCACCCTTCAGAGTCCTCTATGGTTGCCTCTTTTGTTATTTCCAGGGTTTATAGTTGTGCTTGGACAGACAAATCTATACCATTTTGTCTGGACCAAAAGCCCACCAGAAAGGCTATTTTATTTTATTTATTTATTTTTTTTTTGCTGACAAAGCAAGAGATTTTATTGGGAAGGGAACCCGGGTGGAGAGCAGGAAGGTAAGGGAACCCAGGAGAACTGCTCTGCCGCATGGCTTGCAGTCTTGGGTTTTACGGTGATGGGACTAGTTTCTGGGTTCTGGAAAGGTCAAAAGGAGACACCACATGTCCGACCACCTCCCAGAATTCTTCTCTCTGGCATCCACCTTGGCTGAACAAGGCGTGCACCACCAGGAAGGAAGGACTCTGAGTCAGAATGATCGGCTAAGGACAACCCAGAAAGGCTATTTTAAAAGGCAGTGTTGTCGTAAATATTCTCCAACCAATCCTTGAAGGACCTGGAACATTCACTGAACAAATATTGTTGAGCACTCACTATGTGTCAGGAAGTGTCATGGAGATAAAAAATGAACAAAGTAGATTTGGTGCCTTCCCTCATAGAGGGGACTGACTGTTCAGTAGAATGGGGAATTATTTCATAGTAAAATTTATACTTGGAGGCCAAAATGGTATCACTTAGAAAGAACACTTTATCATCTCTCTATATTCCACTGTAAGGTCAATACAACAAAGACCAGGAGCACATTATGGCTAGAGATGCAAAGAAGTGTGCCGACTTCAGAATGACAGTGAAAATAGGAGCCCAGAAAGCATTGACAAGGAACAGAATCCTGCAGTGTTTACCAAAGAAGAACATGAGCTACATGGGTTGGTCAAAGAAATGGAATTGGGAGTCCTGGTCCTGATAGTAGGTAGAAGCTCAGGCCAATTCTCATCACCTCCCAGAAACACACTGGGGAGAGATGTAGAGGATGGTTTGATTAGTCCAGGAGTTGTTTGGACAGTAATAGGAAACATGTGCAGGAGACAATTAAGGCTCTGTTTCACTCAACTAATAAGAAGCCAAATTGGGACAAAAATATCATCTCTGATATTGAGTCATGGAACAGTGTTTTTATCTAACAACTCCCTTTGCCATGGTGATGCTCCTACCTTCAAAAGAAAGCTATGGGGCAATTGGCCATAAAATAAACAGTGGATTCAGAGTTTTGTGGAGATGCTCAAAATTTTTAGACTCAAGTTTCTTCAGGGTTCCCTAAAGGTGTGAAGCACAGGCTTTCCTACTAAGCTGAACAGGTATCTGAAAGGGGTTTCAATAATGATTAGTGTATTATGAGAGAACTGTCAGATTCAGGTTATAATATCTGTGTGTTTGTGAGCATCTGCAATATAATCACCATCTCACAGAAACACTTGGGAGATTGTTTCAAGAGCCAATGATTGATGCCTGTGGTCTGCTGAGCTGGAATAGTTTTCATGATTATTGGACAAATCAGAGCACATCTATAAATGCAAAGGTAGTCCCAGCATCTTCAAATATTTGAATATTTGTAAAGTCAGTTAATTCAATAAGAGGCCCTAGACCCCTTTTTCTTGAATATTTTTTTCAAATTGATAATTAGATTATATTGAATACAATTTTTGTTGCATTCCAATAAGATTAGTGCCCTTTCTCAGCCTGTGTACTTATTCTAGTGTATTTATCTTCATCTGGAAAGATTTTTATTATTGCTATTTCTTTTTAGTCATTATTCTATCCATTTTTCTACAAGGTATTTTCTTTTTATTTACACATAACCATTCCACATGTAAATTTCTGGTACTAAAATTTTATTTTCTGAACTATTAAGGCTAATTAATTTTCTAAACTTTAATCTTAAGGTTATTGAAATGAAACAAGTTTAGAACAGGATAGAGGACATAATGTACCAAGTAGAATTTTCAGAGATAAGAGTTTGGTATATACTTTTCCATAGTATCAACAAAGTATTCCAATACTTTTGGTCATTTGTAGTTATCATCATAAGTAAATCAAGATAATCAGATGCCCAGTGTACCCCCATTTAAAAAATTTTTTGGCTGCACCGAGTGGCTTGCAGGGTCTTAGTTCTTGGGCAAGGGACGGAACCCAGCACCCTTGGCAGTGGAAGCACAGAGTCCTAACCAGGGTTGGATTGCCAGGGGGTTCCCTGTAGCCCCATTTTGAGGATTGCCAGGGGGTTCCCTGTAGCCCCATTTTGAAAGTGCATGAGTAAAAGCATGGGCAGTAGCAAGAAAAGCAGAGACCAAGCTACCTGGAGCCCATTCTCTAGGACAGATGGTCAGTTGTAAGAGACCCTGTGGTCCCTCAGTTCAGTTGAGTCCCTCATTCGTGTCCAACTCTTTGTGACCCCATGAACCACAGCACGCCAGGCCTCCCTGTCCATCACCAACTCCCGGAGTTTACCGAAACCCATGTCCATTGAGTCAGTGATGCCATCCCACCATCTCATCCTCTGTCGTCCCCTTCTCCTCCTGCCCTAATCTTGCCCAGCATCAGCACAAGCTTCTTCCAGCCCGGTTTCTCATGACGTACTCTACATATGGAACCAGTCTATTAGCTACCATTAAAAAAAATTCTCTAGTCTGGATTCTTGGGCCTTCTCAGGTGGCTCAGCAGTAAAAAATTGCCTTCCAAGCAGGAGATATGGATTCAGGATTGGGAAGATCCCCTGGAGAAGGAAATGGCACCCCACTCCAGTATTCTTGCCTGAGAAATCCCATGGACAGAGAAGCCCAGTGGGCTATAGCCCATGAGGTCACCAAAGAGCCTGACATGACTTACTGACTAAAAATAAAAACAACCTGGATTCTTAATCAGACAAGAGGGCTTTGAAGTATAAGGGAAGGAGGGGTCTATGATGGAAGTCAAATTTGTTGCAAAGGAACAAAAATGATGGGATGAAAAAGGATCAGGAAAGAAAGAAAGGAGGGAGGAAGGGAGGGAGGGAAAGGAAGCAAAGAAGGGAAGACAAACATGAACCAGTCAGTGTCACACTGACCTGATTTCTTAACTAAAGTCTTTGGGGTTTTGCTGTTGTCATTGTTATTTGTTTGTATTGAAGTAGAGTTGATTTACAATGTCCTGTTAATTTCAGATGTATTCAGCACAGTCATTCGTTTGTACGTGTACATATATATGCATATATGTAAATGTACTCTTTTTCAGATCTTTTCCCATATTGATTATTATAAAATCTGTAGAGGTTAGGGCTTCCTAATGGCTCAGTGGTAAAGAATCCACCTGCCAGTGCAGGAGACAAAGGTTTTATCCCTGGTCTGGTAAGATCCCACATGCATAGGGCAACTAAGCCTGTGCGTGACAACTACAGAACCTGTGCTCTGGAGCCCGGGAGCTGCAACTACTGACGCCGGTGCTACAGCTACTGAAGCCCGCACACCCTAAAGCTCTTGTGTGTTCTGCAACAGGAGAGGCCGCCCCAATGAGAAGCATGTTCTCTGCAACTGGAGTAGCCCCAGCTCTCTGCAACTAGCGAAAAGCCTGTGCAGCAACAAAGACCCAGCACAGCCAAATAAATAATTCTTTTTTTAATATTAAGGTTAGTTCCCTGTGCTATACCCATTGTTGGTTACCCATTTTATATATATAGTAGTGTGTGTATTTAAGCAAATTCTTTGACTCATCCTTAAAGTAGAGAAAAAGCCAACACCCAAGGACATTCCACTGAATAAGAACTATAACATACTCTTCACAATTTGGCATCCCTGGACAGTGGTGGAGTTTCTTTTTTTAACATAAAGCTATAACACCATGGCTTCTTTCAGCCAGAAGCTTTTAACCCCACCCACCCCTCCACCCTTAGGCAACCAGGGGACTAGTTGATTATAGGATAAAAAACATCAAAATGAAACCTCCACCTTTGTATTCTAAGGTAGTGATCCAAAGGTCCCCAAGTGAGTAAGGACATGCATTAAGATGATTCTAGTAGACTACTTTTCCAGCAAATTGCAAGAAACACTCCTATGAAACCTGTGCAAAAATGCTAGAACAAAAGCAGAATGGACTAGAGGATGAAGAGCACACTTTGGAAGAACAAAATTTTACAAAATTTCTTTGATTCTCAAGGAGATTAAAGAAAAGAAGGACTCTACAAAGCAAGAAAAGAATGTCAAATAACCCAGATTCTATCTCTAACTCTCCATATAGTATTGACTAAAACAAGTAAGCAAAAGCACTCTAAGAAATTTTTTCTTCATCTTTAAATGTAAAGGAAAACGTATGATCAAGTTGTGTAGGAAAGACCTGCCGATACACATTGAATCCACTTAAACACAGAATTAAGTTCAAATAACTCTGGTAATTATACTTAGAAGGCAGAATCTAAATCTTTTAATCACTGAAAGAAAATCTTGGTGTATAACAATAATTTAACTAATAGTCTGGGACAAAATTCTCAGAGCATGCAAACAAAATGGTGAGGCTGGGGAAAATGGAAAGCAGGATTAGTGCCTTATTTTCCTTCCCTGTCATAAGACATGCTCAATAGAAACATTAATTTTGTGGTGTGATTTTTGCCATGTTTTTATTTTTAAGTGAGGAAAGCCTTTTTCATTTTCTTAAAACTAAATTCAGGTGATGCAACAGACTAGCTGTATTATAGAGCCTCACATATTGTAGAACCCTTACAGAAGACATGTCTGAGGCTATCTATGAAAATATCTAATGGCCCAACACATTCTATTGTTTCATTTCAGACTCGGAGCAAAATGATGCCAGTCAGCTGAGCCAAGTGTGTGCATTCCTCACTCAACCCCAGACAGCTTAATAATGGCTCACTAAGCAGCTAATTAGACTTGCAGTACTTTCAGCCAGGCGCACAGACCCCGCCCAGTCGACACACCTTTGCCATACTCCTTTCTCTCGGTGCTTCTCACTGGCTTTTGCTGTTTAGAAGTGGCCCGAGAGGGATTTTTATATTCTAGGAGAAACAAGCAAACAACTTTTGTATTTTAAGCATCTGTCGGTGCAGTGATTTTTGGTTTGTTTTGTTGACTGTGCAGCCAAAGAGGTGCACTAGGGAACGCGGTGATTCCAGGACCTAAATCTAGAAGAAGAGACTGAAGATAGTCGGGCAGGTGCCAAAAAGCTACGCAGGCAGCACGTATGCAGGACCATAACTAGTGTGGTTCTTCCGTGAAGAACGCCTTGCTCTCATGATCTGAAGGAAATCCCGAAGACATAGATTCAGACTCCACTTATTTGATTGAGACGATTGGGTATTGCTTGTGGAGGGAGAATCCTTGCACTTAGCATTTTGTCCTGGTCTTGCCTTGGCAAAGTGCCAGTTTGTGAACCTCCAGGGCGTACAAACTGGTCACTTAAAGTGAGATTTCTGTTCTTGTTTTCAGAATTGTCATAATTGAATTATTATTTTCTAAATATAGTATTTTATGTATTTCAAGCAAACATTTTATTTATTTACCAATTATCTCTTTTCATCAATCATAATAAAGAAAAAAAAAATGAGACGGACCTCAGAACTGTGGGCAGGATTGCTGTTCATAAGTGCTGACATCTAGTGGTTGCACTTTAATAAAGTTCTTTATTAAAGTACTATCCAGGGAGTCTTTTCTGCGAGTTCTATCGTAAGTGATTGATTGATTTATTTATTTTTTGTCTAAAAGACAATTCACGGTACACATTTTATTTACACTTTTGTACATTATCTTAATATGAGTGGGACCACTTTTCTACTTGAGCTATTTTTTAACCAAAGCAAAATGGCCCATGTAGTGCTACAAAGTGTTAAAATACAGCATGAAGATGCAAAAACAGAGATACTAATTGGGGATTTGCTGATGGCTCAGTGGTAAAGAATCCACCTGCAGTGCAGGAGACGCAGCGGCCTCAGGTTCAAATCCCGGGTCAGGAAGACCCTCTGGAGGAGGGCATGGCAACCCACTTCAGAATTCTTGCCTGAAAAATCCCACAGACAGAGGAACCTGGTGGGAACCTT